CATCCGCGCGACTGATTACCGTGTGCCCGCCGACTTAGGCACAAGTTGCGCATATGTGGTTGGGCTCTAACTTGTGTGGCAGATCAATCTTACCAAATAAATGCTTGTTCACTGACATGCCTACCGGTGAAACACTTCCGAAATCGGTCACACCAAAATCCTCTGGTGGGAATCGAGGTAGACAAACGTAGTCACCGTTAGGATGGCCATGAGTTAAGCAGTAGGCTCTAGGAGATATTCCAGGTTCAAGTGATATGCCGAAACGAGGGTAAATGAGGTTGTGTGGCTGATCCATTTGGAAGCCGAAAACTGTGTCCATTTGCAACTTCAGTGTTGCAAGCTCGGGGTAGCCAATCTGGCCTTGACGGGAGGCTCACCAAGAACCCATCTGGATTTCTCGATTATGATGTTCCTAAGCAGTTTCATGTAATTCGGTTTCAAGTAGAACATAGGGTTGGCGGGAGTGCGCCTACCGGATGAGCCTCAAGAAGGGCGGAACCAGTTGTGGCTGTCGAAGAGCTTCCAGCAACCTTTGAGCAGTTTTATTTATAAAAATATACTGCGATATCTCGAATATCGTACCAACTGAAACATGAGGCTGCCTTTATGTAACACATTTGTTTGAATAATTACTTCAGCGGGAGGTGCACTTGAGTCTCCCGTGAAAGCCCAGTTGATTTGCAAACAGGGGTATTTATCAAAACCAGTCCAATTTGGTTACAAGTAGAACATAAGGTTAACCAAAACTCGGGGACTGTGTTTACTTGATGAGACCCAAGAAGGGCGAAATCGGTCATGGGCTGAAGAAGGTAGGGTTATTTTAACATCTTAGGAAGCGCACAAGCGGCGACCAAACTGCGACACATGAAATCAGTCCAAGGGCATAAGTAATTCCAAATTAAATGTATTAAATTTAATATTCGCTGAATCATAAAGATCATATATCTAAAGCAAATACAAGGAGAGTTCTTGTTTTGGCGAAACTTGGCTTCTCTGATTTGCAGGTAGTGAACTCCCCACAAAATTTAATCAATGGCACAGTGATATAAGGGGAAATTGGTCGGATACATCGGTGTTGGTCATTTGAGTCTTTCTGGCTGGGGTCCACGTGATTCTCCCATCGTTTAATTAAAAACCTACAGAATACGTCACGTAATCGATTCCATTGATGAGCATGCTGCCCCTGTCTGACTGTTTAACCAACTATTGTCTGTCACTGTGATAGACTCGTGTTGATCAAGACTCCCAAAGTGTATTTGTTTAGACCCACTAATGCACGATGTGCCTGGTTCGCCGCTGCTCCAAGACGTTAATACGCCATTCCTGGGCATAGTTCACACGGAGTAGTGCTTTTCCGCACTAAGTCTCCAATTTTCACCTTCATTGCGCTACCTCAGCTGTAACACCCTTCCAGTGCCTAGCTGTCATGCTACCTCAAGGAAGCATGAGGGCTGGGATACTGCCAGGTTGCCCAAGCATTGCCAGGGGAAGTCGAGAGGCAGAGGTCGGGTTCGAACCACGAACCTTCGCGCTCTAACCACTTGAGCCAGCTCGCCCCATTGCGCTACCTCCCTGAAACTGTTTTCACCATGATTCTATGTTGATTAGGTGCCACTATTTCTGACCAGTATAATGCTGTTGATGATCACGACAACAATGGAATCGGCTAGATTTTTTGCGACATGTGGTTAACAGGATACGTTGTCACCTTATGCAAAGCTGGTTTGAAATATAAGCCATTATGTTGTCAACTAACCTCTGGTTGCAAAATATTTTTTTCATTGTCCTGTGCATTTGTTCTGCATCCCGGTCCGGTCCCAACTGTGTTCGTCTTGTCAACCCTGAAGGCTGACGACAGCGCTCTCTGTGACTTGACTCGACTTGATTTACGACAGTGTTGTAGCATGTTATATCAAGAAGATACACTTCGACATCTTTAATATCGTAATAACTGAAATATTATGTCACCTTTATGTCGCACATTCAATCGATGAATATCATAAGCGAAAGATTCATCCGGGATGCTGAATTTGCTTTCCTGTTTACTAGCAGCTTAAGGTGACGCTTATGAATGCCTTAGGATCGAACACTACTTTCAAGATCGTTCTTTAGAGAGGTTTGCTCGGGAACGACTTACAACCCTGACATGTAAATTTCCCCGTGTATTGCTCGTCACTAGTTCAGTCACACAGCGCATGTAAGACAACAACAAAACTTACTTTATCCGTCACTTCTTTTGAGCTTCGGAAGGCTAAAATATATAAAATTAGAAAGGTAGATTGGAGAAAAATGCGTCATGAAATAGGTGAAACCAGCATCAACAAACAAAACACGCGAGAACTTGTTTAAAACGTAGATGGCTACGCCTTGGTCGTTTACATCCACAGACCCTACCGATATCTGGAATACCGGTGTTTAAAGCGTTACATGACTTTCCATGATAGAATGCTTCTGATATGACTACAAATTCTCACCCCTCAGCGTCCTTGAAAATACACCGAAAAAAGTAGTGCTAAACCGTGATACCATACTCATAAGGTTGCGGTCGACAGCCCACGACCAGTTTTGAAAACATCATAAATGAAAGATTCAGCTGGGTTCCAGATGAGTTTCCCGCATAGATAAGATTACTTCTTCTACAATTTGGCAAATGCAGTTGCGGAATCTGTTGTATGCGCGTTTTTTACGGTCTGGTTTTTGAAGGCCAGACTATGAACAACTGACAGTCGATTCATCGCTACCGGAACGTGATCCATAATAGCTAACAACCAATAATGGAGACTTTAGCACGAAACCCCGAGATGGAGGGAAGCCTGTCTGACGTTACGAACAACTTAAGTAGACCGTGAAGAGTTTTAGACAAATGCGAGCATTGTAGGATGAAGCAGGAAAGGATACAATGATGTGTGCAAAAAGCTCCTACATAGAAACGTTTCCAGCATGGGACAGTCACTTCCCTGCGAACGATACGATCAGCATCCGTTTGACTGCAGAGCACAAATGCGCGATGTCTGATAACTCGAACGCGTCAGACTGGTGCATCGTTTACTGTATCAACCGACGAGATCTAGGAACTACCCCATACACAAATGACAACATGTGGACGCGTAGCCATTACGCACAGGAAAGACCCTACCCAACAATTAGGGGTGGCGCAGATACATTTGAGCATAGGGTTGCTTGGACGCTTTGGGCGGTGAGAAGGGCACACCGTGATATTACTATCCCAGGTAGAATCTTCCGGTGTGACAGCTGTCCAAAAACATCGCTGTTGCCTAACTGCTGGGCTGCCAAGTGGACATGCGCCGTTTACCCCACACATAGCTTCCGCTCTCTCTGTCTGGTCTGTCTGTCAGTGTTTTTGACATGGACTACATCAACGGCTTCAGGTGAGCATGTTGTCCATAAAGGTTATACTGGTGGCTGAGCAGTTGGTTGCAGGCTAGAAAACTTTGTAGAGAAAAGATGGGGGGATGGATGATCTCGAAAGAGGTTGCAGGACACTAGACAGATGAGTCATATTCATCAGTACTAAAATATTCATTGACTGCCGTTCCGTTTTTTTTTTGAAAGCAGGCACAACTGGCGGATTTCATTTGAACGTTCCGTGGACCAGTGCATTCATGTTCTACCGTTCCAGAACTTATAACTATGCACTGACTTAGCGAAATACACTCATTTGCAAAGTAATTTCTTTTTTGCGAGAGACTCACCTGGAACCCAGCTGAATCTCTCGTTTCTTCATGATGTTCTCAGGCAAGTGAGTGTGCTGCATGCACCAGGCCGCCTCATGTTTCGGTTGCTACGATATTCGAGATATCACGATACGTGTACATTTGTAATGCACTACTCATGAGGTTGCTGGAAATTCCTCGACAGCAACCTTCTGAGTAGTGCATTACAAATATGTATGCACCGACTTTTTCTGGCAGTCCATATCCGTGATAACACTTGGAGCCTTAGCTGTCATAGCCTAAGAGAATCAGAACTAAGATCAATACTCACGTGACATCAATAGGTGTACAAGACCCTCAGGAACTGTGCTTCCTCGTGATATTGAATGATATTGATTTCTACTCCGACATCTCAGGTCACGTTGTATTTTACAGAATTATCCTAACAACCATCGGGCTCTGGAACGGGTACCTTCTTGCGTTTAGCTTACCCAGTAGCATTACTGATCTACTCACGAAGTGCACGCTCCACATTTAGCGTCCTTTAGTATCGAAGTGAGGATGTTTTTGCTCCACAGTACATTTCAGTACTTATCAGTAGGCTGACACATAGGATGCCAATAGATTAACTAGGATAGGTAGGGCATTCAACTAAATCCAAGGTAGATCCCTGGTTCATAAAAATCTGCCTTTGACCGATTACGTACAGTTTGGTGTGCAGGTAGACCATAGGGATCACTTAAACTCTGGAACTAAGCTATCAGTGAATTTTCAGCAGTCTTGTGAGTAGTACGTCAACTTACCCCTAGTATTTTTAGTACGACTATCGCGAGCTAAATTAAGTTAGGTGAAGTTGGAAATAGGAGAAACAATTCACTATCCACCGGTATTCACTTCCACAAGCGCTCGTTCGCATACATTCTGTTATGATTTGGAACCGCGAAACGAAAGTAGAGTCTTTTAAGTCGAGTCCAGTGTTCATCCTTTCTGATTAGAGTCCACGGAACTCATCTTCCACCGGGGAGACATCCTACCAGGACGTAGATAGTTGGTGACCTCAGATACAATCGTGATGACACTTCATGGCCGAATCGCCTAGTTAACCTTTGTCTGGCCTTATGCACTGAGTTTTTCCTGTTAGATTTTAACACTGACAGGATTCTCGGTTCCGAATATCGGTCTTGTGGACTNAAACTTGCCTCATTCGTCTCTTCCGATATTAAAGGATCTAGTTCAACAAATGTCCATTTTTCTCAAACTATTAGGCTTTCTTACGAGTGGCAGGCAAGCGTGACAATTTCCAAGTGTTGCATTGTATGAAGATACTGATGACCATGAGTCGGTTGCGTTTGCTCCCCGAAGAAAACATCTGTTGTTCCCTTCAGCGGCCAGAATCGTTAGAAATTGTTCAGCTGTAGCCTAACTGCCATAGTACCCAAAGGAAGCACGAGGGCTGGGATAGTGCTAGGCTGCCCAAGCCTAGACAGGGGAAGCCGAGAGGTAGAGATCGGGTTCGAACCACGGACCTTGCGGTCAATAAATTCGCGCGCTAACCACTTGGTCCATCTCGCCAGCATAAGTCCTAATCAATCACAGAATAACCTCCCAAGTTAAAAATCAATTCTAATCTTGTAGAAATCATAAAAATCTTCGCTGCTGCCATCGCGAAACCGAGATCTTTCTCTCCGGTTTGAAACCTAAGAAGGGCTATGTTTTGTCTTAGCCTGAGTATTCTGCTTTTCGCGATAAAATACCAACCCTCATTGCATTTTCGGAAACCTTTTGAGTCATTCAACTTCAAGTAAGCGGAGAGGCTTGCAGCTTCAAAGGAACTTCAATTTTAAATATTGCTCATTCAGTGGTTTTCTTATCCGGATGAAAGCATTTCAGAATCAAAGCAAGCATGAAAAACTTCACACATGTTAAAATTTGCGAATTGAGCAATTTATCCAAATGTTCCAAAGATGGCAGAACATTTAGGTGACCGAAAAACCCGTCCGTGTGGTCATCCGTGACCGGCAGATCATTTGTTTCCTTACAAAGTTGAATGCCAACCAGAGTTGATTTATGTTCAAATTTGTGATTAGGCAATACCCGCAAGGGGTGGGTGAAAGCAAATGTCACTCTTCTCGACTGATTTTCTTTTTTTCCGAAGCCAGATTGGGCAACCTTGGTCTGTAATTGCACAAAAATGTCTTAAGTTGCCAAGGTGTTTCGAAAAAGGTTATTCACGGGTGGTACATTGTATACATGGAGGTTTGTTGAAGTGGCTAACTGCTAGTACAGGGCAAGTCCAGGAAAGAGTTTTGGAACAGCTTCAGATGGGTTCGCGGAAAAATCGTTTTTTTTCAGGAAAACTACTTGAAGTGCTCCCGTTTGCATCGACCATCTGTTTAGGCTGCTCACCTTTCGTCACCTCTTTAAAATTTCTGCTATCAATATCATACCGACCAAATTCGTTACCTTGAACTTATTCAAAATGTTCCCGACCACACTTCGTTAAGCATCACACTTTGTAAGACCAAACTTTAACGACCGATATTACGGAGCGTAACAGTCGCAGTCCTTAGGCTTCTAAGAAGGTATACGAAACGGATGGGGCTGTGTGGAAACCTTGACTATCTACACTATGTTATCATGCGGACTGAATCAACCTACGGCCAACTTCACTTGCAATCTGTCAAAAAAATTCGGTCTGCCAGATTGCCGGTCGATTTGTAGCATCAGACAGTGCGGGTAGGATCGGTAACAAAATCGCGAATGCAGGTAGGGGCCCGACGATGGTAAAGACGAACGTTTTGTGCACTTTAAGAAATCCCGATGGATGGTTCAAATCACCCAACGTCCACAAAAGACTATTGGAAAATGACGATTGTGAAAAGTCAGCAATCCATGTGACATACTGCCCGCTAACAGCAAGCAAGACCAGTCAATGCCACAAGCGGAACAAACAGGGTCTTTCATAGCACAGATATCATCCTGTGCTTTCGACCGGAGAACCAAGTTAAAGGGTTCGATCGCTGAACATAAGATCACTCAGTGATTAAAGCACGAACATAGTGACTGGAAAGTCCGTGGTTCGATCCCAACCGTTCCTAGCAAAATAGTAGTATCTGAGCCCTCGTGCTTCCTTCGAGTAGTATCATAGGTTGGCCCCGGCTGAACGATTATTATCATTACGTTGGGCATTTTTCCACTTAACCATGCCGGTTTAGGTGTTTGATTCTACAAGGAGATGCAGAGTCACGCGAAGTGACCAGAAACACAAAGTCACATGGTTTCGGAAATATTGGTGGAAGTCCGTGTTGAACTTGCCTTAGTGTACATTAAGGACGTCATTCAATACTAGGACGACCGTGTTCACTTTAACTTAGACTGCAATTCAATACCAACATCCTAAAATACGAACCCGAAACTGGTAGCACTAATGCGACTGACTGTGGTCAAAACCACCACGTGAAATACGCCAGATTTATGCATTGGGGTTGTTTCAAAATCTTATGGCCGACTTGATGGGGAACCTAAAATACGAACCCGAAACTGGTAGCACTAATGCGACTGACTGTGGTCAAAACCACCACATGAAATACGCCAGATTTATGCATTGGGGTTGTTTCAAAATCTTATGGCCGACTTTGATGGGGAACGGGAAACCGATCAAGCCTCGAATTTTTTACCGGAATTTCCGAATAGTCTATTTTCCGCCAATTTATGACGCGATGTATGTTACGACGAGCCCTGATTACACAAAAAAGAACTATGCCAAGCCATAGGCCCGTAAACGCGGCTGGTTGGTTTTTTGCCCCCAAAATCACGACTCAGGCAAGAGACAAAAGTGCGACAGGGTCGATAACAGCCGCTCACGATAAAGCTGGTCGCGCGGGTTTGAGACACGCAGCCGGCCTTAAGAGGCTGCATAGCACGGGCAACACGAGTCGAAATAGGCCGTTGTGGCTCCTACCGCGACGTAATGGCTGAACGAAAAGTGCGATACGGTACGCGGATTCCGTGTTGTGAGGTCATTTGGACGTCATTTGCCCCTGACACACATACGAACACGTGTACAAAATTTAAAAAAAAAACAGCACGAAATACTGGTCCTCTTCCAAATGTCCGGCACATAGTTTACAACATGCACGGAGTAATTCTAGATCTGTACTTTGTGTGCACAGCTGTCTGGGACCAGACTTAGGTATCTACGTCCTCTGTTTTTTTAGGTACATTGATCAAACGGATGCGGCATTTTTACACTAGTATGGGGTTCTGACGCCTACCCTGACATAACACTGTGTGTAGACATTTACTAAGTACTTAAGTAGTTGCGAAGGTCTCGGGACCAAGCTCAAGGATTAGTCCAATTCTGGAAAGCGTTGGGTCAATTCAGCTCTTACAGAGTAACTTCAACAGTTTCCTGACAGTTTTGTGATAATAATTAGGCTATCTTCCAAATCGGAAACTGTTCTGTCGAACAAAAGAGACCAATTCAAACTTCACGTGATTTAGTCAACCTATCGCTAAAACGTGTTCGTTTCCGGTCGAAAACTTTTTGCAGTTGTTCAAGTGTCAAAATGTGGACTCAGCTCTTCGCCAGCTGTACGATACTCGTGGAATCCGATTCATGTATCAATTTCATGGGGGTAAACTGCACGGAATGGCTTGTACAAAACATCTGTTCTAATGGAACCTATCCTGGTTGATGATATATTTCCGTATACTACTGAAACTCATGAGGATAAAGTAGCATTTTACGCAGAATTTAATGGTAGTTTCTTATAATCGGATCCCAAACTAAGAATGAGATGTTCAAGATTTTCGAACAATCCCAAGGCAACGTGAAGTATGTATCAGATGAGCTATTCTCTCCGCCAATCCCCCGGTTAGCTAACAGGGAATATCAGTCATATTTGACGGGAACAAGATGTCGAATATGGAGAGTTGCGAAACGACATCTATTTCTCAACAGATCTAGGGTATTTCACACTTTTTCTCAGACATGCCAGCCTACGATGCATCGCCACATCATGTGTGTTATAACACTAAAATTACCGGCAAATGTTTCTAAATGGTGAGTAAACGAAAGGTGCACTTCGACGAGTATGTACCGAACTTACTGTGCAACTAGCGAACGCCAAAAGTATGTCACATCTTTAAGGTCAGACACCAATGTGTGATTCCGCGCCACTTATCTTCAGCGCTAAGTACAGGATGGATGCAGAAAGACACCAGGCGAAGGTTTGACAGCATCCATTTCACCTGCCACCAGTATTCGACAGGTGAAGAGAAAAATACTAGCTGCCGGGCTTGTTGCTACGGTAACCAGTAATGAACTGTCAGAGGCGCTCCCATTCCGTGGCAAAAATATGTTTGTCTAGGGTCCTGTTAAGCTTCAACGTCAAACTCTATAAGATGTACTTAGTTTGCATCCACATATCAGTTAGGTCCATTATTAAAGTAAAATGAGGCACAGGCGTATTCGCCCCAACATCTATGGTAGAAAGGGAAACGTAGGCTTTCAGTGCATGATTGCCGTGCCATTCAGCCGAACACTTGGGTTGAGCCACTGCTAGATGGCTCACTTGTATCACTTTTCGACAGTGAGCAATGAGTCGGGTCTGGTAGAGCCGACCTCAAACCCTGTGTGGAAGAAATCAGCTAAAAACATTCGCCAGCAAAAATTAATCGTTTGACAGAAAATGAGCAATCTGTATTACTGGCGTTTGGCCGTCGACGACAAGGAAAGATGAACATGAAGAGTACGATTATGGTGATGAGAAGGAGGAAGAGGAGAGTGTCGACGAATACGATGAGACTGATCACGATGTGGATATTGACTAGTGACGAGGACTGTGAACAGTATGGGGGAGTCATGGATACATCAATCACTTTTCATGTGTTGTTTCGAACGTCACCAGTTTTAAATTAGCGAAGCTCTTATGAAGTAACTATCCCAGTAGGCTCCCTTATGTTGATGAATACCAATCGAAAACGAAGGAAGCTATTGCTTAGGAAGTCCCAAAAAGTGATCGTGAGACGTAAGTGAGTAAGATGAAGGTAAGGATAAGATGCATTTCTTCATGCGTAAATTTAGGCTCCCCGTGCTCGGCGGGAAAGTTTGATTTTCTATCAAGATATCTTCAGGTTCAATTTAAGGTAGCGCAATCATCCGCTTATAGCAGCACACTACGAAGAAACGGTCTGCTTGGACTCCCCTAGAAGAAAGGATTATGGACTGAATCGTGGCCGATGGTGCACGCTCTATTGGACGAGACAAATCTTTATAAAGGAAACTACTCACAAGGTTGCTGAAAACTTCGACAGACCCTTCTTGGGGCTCATCAGGTAGGCGCCGTCCCCAAGTTTCCGCCAACCTTATCATAAACGAGAGATTCTGTTGAGTCTCCCGAAACAGGATAAATCTCTTGAAAATGAATCTTTCTTAGTTGCACTTTAATTGAGGAACTAAGTCACCCAACTGAAAACAGGGTCAAGTCAATTAGTTCACTTACGTCCTCCGTCATATACAGTGTACCTCTGTGTTTTGATTAAAGAGGCACCAATCTCTCTATTTTGAACAATG